AGTCCGTGCATCACACGCTGCGTTCTTCTGAAAACACTTTGGAATTACTAAAACATTTCTTAGAATGAAATTAAAAATGTTTTGAAAACTTCAGGTTGTCATAAATTAATAAAACATCTGCCTAACTTTCCATACAACCCCTTTCTCCTCAAGTTGTAAGGGTTACTATGTAGTATTTAGTGTCCAGTAAATTAGAGGAAATAGGCCAGGGTAAAACTAGAGAGATAGCTATAATAACAAAAATATACACACCATCGTCTCTCTGAAGGAATCATTTGCAAACAGTTATCAGACAACACAAGTGGAAAGCTCTTGGCGCTCTCTGAAACTGGTAACTGAGGTTCTTCGTTTGCAAAAGCTCTCTGTTCCATTTCAAGAGCTGTAGCTATTACCTGAGATGAAAAGGTAACCTTTGGCTTTGCCTTAGTAGATAAAAATAATAGGATTTCTCCTTACTTATTGGGAACAGCAATTGTAAACATTTTTTAAAAGCTGCTCTTCTGCTGCCTTGAATTGAATACCTTTTTTAAGAAGTGACACTTTTAACAAATTTCAATAGCACACATAATTGTACCCAACTTTTTGGACTACTTCACTTGTCATTGCAAGATAGGATGCTATCAATGCAACACAGCACAAGCTTTTCCCATTAAGGCCATCAATTCAAACTAAAACATGTCAACTCCAATGACATAAGTATAAACTTTTGTGAAACTGTGTTAATAAAAAACATTTCAGTAACAATTCAAGGTACCTTTGCAGTGAAACCACTGATGGTGAAAATGCCTGCATCTTTTCAAGAAAATTCCATAACTAAGCAAGGGGTTGAAAAATATGCTACTTAAAAGATAGTGATTCTTTTCCAGATACAGTAGGAAGCTTTGTTATTACCCAGTCACTTCAACTACTGTCATCAAGAATTAAACAGCTAGCTATGTGAAAAGCAAATGTCCCACGTGCTGCACACTCACTTCAGGCCACCACAGAAAACAATGAAATGGAAACTCTGAAACGGGTTGTGCTGAATGACTTCATCTAATATTTAGATGAATTTACATAATTTAAAAAATACATGCATGTTATGTCCTTCATATTCATCCCATCTTATTTCTGAGTATTTTACTGAGATGCCACAGCTTAGTTTTTCGTCTTTAAGAAGTAAACTAAGAGAAAGAAGATAGCTATCTGCAGGGAGATACAGGATTGGGCTAACAGTGCTTAACAGACACATTCTAATGGAGTGCCTCAAAACAGAACAACACCCTGAAGTGTTTCAATGAAAAATCCCCAAAAGGCCCTAATTCTGACAGATGGAAAGGTCTAGAGGAATAAGTGCCCCCAGATATTTTTTTTTAAGGGCACAAAGCTGAGTGGGGTGAACCTGCTAAAAATGTATCGTTGGTTGAATTCACCAGGAATGAAAAAAAGGCAATCTTACAGACAACAAAACAGAAATGTAGCTGCAGTTCAGTTCAGAGCTTTTTCATCTAAAATACAGTGAATAAAATGGCAGCTGTGGCCACTGCTGCAAGACTGCTGCAGTTAAAACACTGATGGTTACTACTGAATTACCATAGGGGTGAAGGAAATTAATCCTATTTCTGTATGATTCTGTTCTCAAGCCACTAGCAGATCCAGATGGTAGAATCAGCGACACTTCATATTGTTTCTTTTTTAATGTTTTTAAGTCTGCCATTTTCCTACTCAAGCTTCCCAGTACTCAGCTGTTCTGCTTCACACTTCAGCTTCATTTCTGCAGCTGTGTTTTCTTTCCCATGTTACATTTCCTATAGAACTGAGATCTGAAATTTATTATGTGATCCAGTACTGCTGTAGTTACTGGAAGAGGCATTTTCAGCTTTTTTTTTTTTTAATAATTCTTTTAGTATATTGTATCAGAGGTTAAATTATCAGTTAGATATTGGTACAGAAAGTATTACAAAAATTGTGTGTATATATAGTTTCTGATTGCTAGTTTAACAATGCTACTTTTCCAAGTTGTGGGCTGATTCTTCAAAAACGAAAAAAAAACAAGTTTAATTTCTATAACTAATGTTATGGGAAACACATTATTTAATACTTCTGATTTTAGTAAAAAGCAGATTTACAGTGTAATAGAACAGCATGGAATTCCTGAAAATTCCACTGACCCCAGAGATCAGTGGAAATCCTTTGGTTTGAGCTCTGCAGTCTCTGAATAGTGGCTGAAGTTCATAATTCACTGTTCATACATAGAACAAAGTTTTTTCATGGTTTTATATGAAGGTAATCCACAATTTATGCTGCAAAGCCAAATGCCACCATTAAATTGCTTTGTTCAGAATGTCTGTCTGCTTGCTCCTGAGAAGCAAATCTTGTAGCACACAAAATCCACTATCATTACTGTTAGTCTTGTTATGTTTCAGTACAGTGAAAGAAGAAAATAATATTTTAGGTTTTTTGTGTAAATTCCATTGATTTCCAACAAGAAAGGTCCTTTGCATATCCTTTCCCTTTACAAATATCAGCTACTTCAAAGCCATTGGCTGCTACAATTTGTAGACGGTCCTGAAATTGACTGAAGTAAAATACCTATCATTTGCTAAATGCTATGCAAAGCCGTAGCAGTGAATCACTAAGATTGTGTATCTGAATGAGAAGACATAAAAGAGGCATTCAAAACACGATCTCCCAAGCAAATGAAAGAGAACAATCCTGTAATGATCAGAGTTAGAAGTTACCTTCCAGATACCTAATATAGACACCAGTCCATACTATCAATCAGGTGTCGTGAACTGGTGAATGCACAGCTCTGAATATCTACATAGCTGCAGTTCTGTTTGGAACTTTGGTTTTCCGTTTTGCAACTCATTTGTGTCTTTTATTTAGTTCTTTTTCAAAAAAGGTAAGTGAACGAGTTAAAATGCCTTTAATCACGCAAGATGCTAAGAAAGCTTTTTATAAAACATCAGGTGCAATTGCACTGAAACCTGAAATCAGAAGGGTCTAAAAAAGAATATAATTGCAGAATCATTAAGATTGGAAGAGATCACTAAGATCATCTAGTCCAACTGTCAACCTATCCATCACCAGGCTCACTAAACTTTTGTCCTTTATATTCTGCTTGCTAGCTAGAAAAGCCAGCATGTATTAAATAATTCAACTTTTATGGACTCACATCTTGTAATGCCCTTGCTCTGAATGGCTCATAGGAAATTAAAAGAATATTTAAATGAAATGCATTGCAAATTTCCTTCTTTATCATCTTCAAGTACTGAAAGATATGATCTACTGTACATATCCAGGCAAGGTAGTGACCCCCAAGTTTACATGGTTATAGAGAAGCCAGTACTTCTCCTTTTGTGGTAAAATCTCAAACAGTGAGGAATGAATTCAATAATATATGAAGGAGACAAGCAGGAAAAGAAGTATCCTAAAAGATATTTACTACTCCAGATTCAGTGTAACACAACTGCCTTGTATAGAAGCACATTCATTTTCCTTACTCTTTGAATAACCTTATGAGTAGGGAGACAGGAGTTGGTATGAAGAGTACCTCGCTGATTTTAGGACCCAATCTGGCTCTGAAAAGCATTAAACACTGTGTCTATAATCACTTATTTGTTCCTGCACTGTATAGTAAAGGTTTGAAAAAGCAGTTCTCAGATAAATTACCTGAACTATGAGTAGATAAGCATCCTGCAATAGACTGGTACTGAAACCTACTGCCAAAATGATAGGATTATGCCATGAGTTTACTGTAATGTTTGCCAAGAGCCTTTTTGCAGATTTAGTGCTCTTTCAGAGAACGAAAGAGACATAGTATAGAGCATATTAGAAACAGTGCACTTTTCGAACTGTGGATTGGTAATCTCAGCAATTCCACATGTATTAGAAACAAAAAGACTCCACTACTGGTATCAAAAACTACTAGGAATATACTGTGGTATTCATGAAATTTGAAAGGTAAGAGAAACCACTGTAAAAAACCTACAGATTATCCCATGTAAATGAAAAAGGTAGAATAATCTCATGTGCATGACATATATGACATACAAATTTATTCATTTCATGCATATGCTACTAATTACAGTCTTTCTTATGAAACAACTGTTATGGAACAAATAAATATATTACGTGTTCATTCTGTTCCCGTGTACTGTGTAAATAATCATTTTATTTGTCCAGTAATCAGGTATGAAGAAAAATAGCTCATTGTCTAGCAGCTAATAGCTAGAGGGAAATTTCATGTAGGAAAAACAATACATTTAAATTTGTTAAAAGGTAATTTCTAAAATTAAATGCTTTTTACAAAAGTTAAAGTGATATCATACAGTTTTATATGGTTATAATTTCACCTTAAGAAATAATATTCTGCTTTCTGTTTGACACTAAATTTGTACAGATGCTGTCAATCTTTTTAGCCATAGGTAGCCATAAAGTTCTGTTACAAATGATAAAGGTGATTTTGGCTAGCGCAGGTATTATCCTAGACATCCATGGAATTTTTTGAAGGAAAAAATGAAATTATTCTATGTATCTTGGTAAGTTAGTACTCCTGTTTCCTTTTTCTAAAGAGAACTGTAGGAAAAGGCATCAACATGAAAGTGGAAAGGAAAAGTTGGATATACATGAAACAATCTTTAAAAAAGGAAGAATTCAGAAACTCAGTATGTTATAGCATCTTCGATGAACTTCAATGACTTCAGTAGAGTAAGTTTAGAAGAAATGTATCTTCCGTCATTGAAGAGCATACAATTTCTGAATCTTGCATTTATTCTGGAGGTAAGAAGCCATCTCTATAAGAAACATCGCATCACACAAATCACAATGTCTTGTATTCCTTTATATGTAATGAAAACACACGCAGTCACGAATCCAGGTTCTGCCAACCTAAATTCATTCTATTTCTGTAATTGACAGGTTAAGCAGTTAACCAGTCAACAAAGTCAGGTCCTGTTTCATCTATGAGAGGTTAAACATCGAGCTTAAAATGGACGTGTGTTCATTTTCATATTTACCTTTAGGGCCTTTGAACAACTTGATCTCTACCACGGTCTCCAGAATAGGCCTCCTTCGACGAACATACAATCGAACTATGGAGCCAGCCTCCTTTAGGGCCTCCACGGCTTTGCTGTGTGAGACTTCTGATACGTCCACCTCATTCACTCGCAAGATGCAGTCGTTGACCCTTCAAGAAAAAGAAAGAACCGTGTTATTTTAGACTGAGCAGTGTTTTGTCAGTAAAACAATAACCACTTAATTGGGAAGTTTGCCAGATGCAATATGCTATATCAGCAGTGAGATGGAAACAGAATGCACGAATTCTCCAAAATACATACTGGATTCAAACTAAATCATGCCTACTCACACCTACCATCTTTCATCATAAACTGGGGTTGGAGCCACTACAGTGATGGAAATAATAAACAACTTGTTTTTACGGACTTAGTTAAAAGAGTTTGTACTAAACAGTATAATCCAGTTACCAGAGTCACAGTGCATGGTATGACTACTACCATTGCTCTTAAGGAAATCTATTGATTTAATTCAATACAAAGAGATCAGTATTTTGTAAAATACTTTCTTAAATCTATCTTACTTCTTCAACACAGCCAAAAAATTCTAATTCATCAAAGTACAAAGTTCAACTCTAAGTGTAGACTCCAAGATATGCTGTTTGGTAACAACATACATTTTTTACAGAATACTAGAAGAATCCCTCATAATCTTATTTTGGATAGTCACTATATTTTTATGGGGCTGAACTAATTTATTCACCCTCAAAGTTACCTGTTTAGATGTAGTATTTTCCCTATTTTGTATATTGCTGCAAAGTTGTAGCAGGTAAATGGAGAATGAGGTTTTCACAAAAGGTTATTTTAACTCCAAGAACTTAGAATGGATTTTTTTTTTTTTGCTGCTATTTTTGCTTAAAAACAAACAAACAAACAAACAAATAAATAAATAAACCACAATAAAATGAAGCCAAAACTTTAAACATTATTTGAAACCAAAGATTTTCTGTATTATCAGTATTTTTGAAGAAACTTTACTAGGAGAAACATTGATAATACCCTTCAACTGACAATTGGTCTGTCTTAGGAAGGGCACAACACTGAAAGTCCCATTCCAATAATAAATTCTGTATGGCAAATTTTCCAGTTTTTCCAGTAAGCGGACTTCCTGGTTTCCTTCAATGCCAGGAGTATTCATTTTTTAAATGCATAAATGTCTGGTTTGGCTGTCAAATTAATAAGTGGTCTAATATAAATTGCTTTATTCTATTAAATAAATCATGAATGCATCCTGCTACTACTTCTCTTGGACAGTAATTAAGCCTAAGCTGCTTTGTCCTTCTATTAAATATTGCTGTATATCTGATTCTTGACACATTTCTGACTCTCATTGTCATACCTGAAATAGAGAGAATGAAAACGACAAGATTTTAGCTATTGATTGGTTATGAAAATGAAAAGCTGGGAAAAGATTATAAAACCACTAAAAATAAGGGCTACATTTCTTTTGTTTTCATATATGCTGTGCTCTGCATTGATAAATATCAATACTATTAGATAGTTCTATATATCTAAATCTCTCATTAAGGTTCTACCGAAGCCTTCTGTTAAGGAAAAAAAGCAAATCTTATGGAGCAAGTCAATGAAGGACATGGAATCATACTGAACTTGCTAAAATCAGTAAGCCATATATATCTATTTACTGAAAAAACCTTTGGAAAATGATTTTTACATTCCAACAGGAATCTCATTTTACTACCTGAAATTTGGCCATTTAGAGTTATCTACTTTAAAATAGTAAAGCCATCTTTAATAAAACATACACAGATTAATACTAGCAGTGTGGGACTTGATGATCTTCAAGGTCTTTTCCAACCTGACAAACTCTATGGTTGTATGAATGTGAGTGAGATAATAAAAAGCTGCTCCATAATGGAAGTACTTCAGTGTTTTGTTTCTACACAAAATTTATCAGTGCAGAAACAACACTGACAGCAATCATCCTATTCAGTCTACTATGATGAACACACCTAGTGCTAGAACATGTATTCTTTGGGAACCCCAGGTTTTTATTCCCTCACAAACAGAGATGAATTGTTTAGTTTATGTAACTTTCTAGTTAGAAATAAGTACAATATTGAAGAACATGCACACACATGGGATCGTGCAGGTGTATGCATGTTTGTACCGATAGAATTCCTATGGCTTCATCATAAATTTGCTAGAAATGCACACACTATATCTATATCTATACTATTTCAACAACAAAACCAAACAAACCAACCAAATAAACAAACAAAACCAAAAAACCCAACAACTCCAAGTGTGAAGAAATGGTTCCGAGTCTTGTTTCCAAGACAAGACAAGAGAATTTTTACTATTAAAGCATTTATTTAATAGCATCAGCACTATTACATTATTGCCACTCTGCTTGTAGAACTTGACAATATATACTTGAGTACAGTGTGTTCACACAGTTACTTAAGATACATACTGGAAAAAAATTGTAAAGCTTTCTAATGAGCAAGAAAGCAGAAAAGGAAGTTTTACTCTAAGCTGCAATGATTTTCATAATACTTACGAAACTATTTCTCTAGTTCTTGATGAAAAGAACTCTTAAAAAGGAGTCTCAAAATGGAGAACTTGACTTGCTAAGACAATATAATCTCAACATCTGTTGATGCTATGAGTTCATAAAGTTCTTGAATAAATTTTCTCATGTATCTTTGAAAAGTAATATGTAATTGAAAGTATTTTGGAAACTGTACGAGTTTGGAAAGAAAAAGAAAGAAAGCAGGAAAAAAGGAAAGAGGAAGAAAAAAAAAAAAAGAAAGAAGAAAGACAATTAATTCCCAATATATTTTAAAAGAACATAAGCCCCAGAAACAATGTTCATGCTATTGTTTCCTTGAAATAGAGGGACTTCATATCTCAGTTCAGCACAGCGTATAAGTCTATAATTAAATTTTGAGGTAATCCAATTTCCATTTTAGCCAAAATACTCATGTAGTTAAATTTATTCAAGTCAGTTGAATCGCCCAGGCAGGTTACTGCTGAGTGAAAATTGACTGAGGCAACACTTCCCACGGCATGCTGGCTCACCTAAATACTGTAACAAAATGGATATATTCTTTTAGAATTTGTGAAATAATTCAGTTATGAAGAAAGTTGGTTCATAAAATACAAAATACAATACACGCTATTATCATGCCAGGATAGTTACCACTGATGAAATAAATATGAGAAAGATTTTGCCTTTTAGGAGGAAGGTCAGGGACACAGAGATTTACCAGTAGCTATTGCTATCTTCAAAGCAAATGAGTGGTTGGATTAATTAAGGAAAAATACTAACCTTTAAGGGCTTCTAACAACTTTGTTCTAAACTTGACTATCTTCATCTGAGTTTTTTGATCACTGATTTCAAGAAACAGCACAGACATCCTTGAAAAACTGATAATTGCTTCATCAAGTTGTAAGCAGAACTCTTAGGCATTTGTTAGAATACAGTAGGTGACAACTGGTAATGATTATTTATTTCAGTCTGTTCTGTGCAATATGTGCCCTGCAGAGAAACCCAAAGCAGCCTAGTACAGCAGCAAAGAGCCCCAGAAGTCCAAATGGTCCTGTCAGGATGCATTAGCCCACTTGCAACTCCTGAAAGAAACTACCTGAAAGAATCAACCATGGTCTCAGCAACAAGGAACTGATCTGTGTTCCATGGGACAATGATGAAACTGAATCTACAGTAATCCATGGGTCTTAGTTATCATCCAGACACTTCTAGACTCATTAGCAACCTATTACTATGGTAGCTCTGGTTACACAAATATAGTTATGTTTTCTACTGCAGAAAAGCTAACATTATCAAATCTAATGTCTTTCTTACTATCTTCTCTACAAAGCTAAAGTTGATATGGACTTTAGTCAAAGCTCAGAAATCGAGATATAAATAATATTATTAAGGGAGAATCAACATAAAATTCCATAGGTAACTGCTAAAGGAAGCACTGAACTCCCACTTTATTTCTTTGCTTCTCCTTTTGTCCATCTTTTTCAGCTCTATAAAGAGGGACTGGTGCTTTTTTTTGTTGTTGTTTTAGTTTCAGAAGTCACAAGAACACAGCACTTTAAGCAGGAACACAAGATTATAGGTGGCAAGTTGAAAGGACTGATTATTCTTCTTTCTTAATGATATCAGTGAATCATAATATAAATACAGTATCTGACCCTAGGAGAATCAGCCTAGTCCCTTAGTTAGGGAAGACTTACCCTACCTTTTTTTTTTTAATTCTCACTCACACCCTTCCCATGCCATGGTAAGTAAAACATACAGTAGAAAATCTGATTAGTGGTACTGGCTCATATAATTTCTTTGCATTATTATAATGATTATTTTATTTAATTTTCAACCAACAATGAAGAATAAAAGATCTCAAATCTAATAATGTAGCCTTCAAATCTGCCTTTTCAATTACAGAACACAGAGCTAAAACTAAATGCCAGTGATACACATGTTCCACGGGACATACTATTTCATTAGATATAATGATCCTTAGACACATGATCCAATTTCCTTAGCAAAATCATATACACCCTCAGGCCTCCTTCTGCCATTGTAAACTACTATAATTACTATTATGTACAATTTAAAAATAACGGGATAAAACAGCAGTAGGAGAAAATCTCAGATCTCATTTTCAAATTATGGTTCTTTCTACAAACTGAAGTCATAGAATCATAGAACAGTGTGGGTTGAAAGGCACTTTAAAAACCATTCAGTTTCAACTCCTCGCCAAAGGCAAGGACACCCCCACCAGATCAGGCTGATCAGGACCCACTGAGCCTGGCGTTGAGCACCTACAGGGATGGGGCACCCACAGCTTCTCTGGGCAGCTTGTGCCAGGGCTTCACTGCCCTCATAGTGAAGAATTTCTTCCTTATACCTAATTAATCTACCTTTTAGTTTAAAGCTACTATCCCTTATCCTATTTCTACAGATAGAGTGTGACACCGTCTCCAACTTTCCTATGGGACCCCTTTACATGCTGGAAAGCTGCTTTGAGTTCTCCACAGAGCCTTCTTTTCCCCATACTGATCAATCCTAACTCTCTCAGACTGTCTTTATAGGAGAGGTGCTCCAGTCTTCTAATCATCCTCGTGACCTCCTCTGGAC